CCACAATAGGTGATTTTAAGCTTTAAGAAGTAAGAAGTTGACCAATTATAATCGAATATGAAAAGAATACTCGACTATGATTAGTCAATTTCTTACGGCTTAAAAGATTAAATACTTATTGTGGACCGACACTTACTTATGCTGTAACCGTAAAAAAATGACCAATCACTTTGGTTAATTTTTAAATATAGAAGAATAATCGACTATGATTCATCAATTTTTTACGGCATAAATTAATAGATTACCTCCATAAACCAATCCTAAATCATCTATTGTAGATCGGGACTAATGAAAAAACGCGAACGTATAAAACATAGACATATAATATAAACCCCGCATACCATATACTCTTCTATATCACTAGTTGGGTTTGGCAGAACGGTGAGAGAAGCAAAATATCAAAGAATCTGTCCTTTACTGCGCGTGCATTATTGACAAATAAAAATGACCTACTCGGGAGTGTCCCGTTTGATTTGACCTCGTTGCGATTGATCACATCATATATAGGCGGTCACTCACAGCGGCCGGTGCCTAGAGATTTTCCTCTGTTCAAATGTTATGAGTGGCTGGTGGTCAACATAATCAAACGGGCCCCATAGACACAAGGAATCGATTTCGTATCTCAGAGGTTGCGTTCAGCAAAGCGTCCTTGCCTTTAGATCTTCGTTGAATGTAAGTGTAGAAACCAATCATAATAAAGAATCACTGAACGCTCACTGATCTGCTTTCTCTGCTGAACGCAGCCATAGTATAACAACTTGATGTTACAAATATTTGCATCTCTTGATTGGTCAATTGATGAAATTCTTTATTCTGATTGTCAATCAGCATTTCGAAACATCTGTGACGAGACTTTGATTGCACTTAAATGGAAAACAGTCAGTGTGTACTGAATCAACGACACTTACTTAGATGGGTTTCCTTTTGTCTCGATCTACAATAGATGATTTAAGATTGACCAATCATAGTAGATTATTCTCCTATTCTTCGATTATGATTTATCCATTTTTTTATGACTTAAGGCTTAAATCATCTATTGTAGACCGGGACTTATAGGAGCTGCAAACACAGGTGACGAAAAATACATGAGACTTTATAAAGCCTGCGTCAGGCGTTAGTCTTATGAAAGTCTTCAAACGGAATGGACTTATTCCGTTTTTGCGGAATTTTTTGAAACAACGGTAACGTTTTGCATTTGTTTCATCACTTTGAATTTTGTTACATCCTTTGCCGAGTTTGCTTTCATATTTTTTCGCGAATTATTTGTGGCCAATCATGTTAGTCTGTGAAGAGCTAAGATCATAAAGAGTAGTAATCACCAACATCTTGTGGTATGGTTTATATGTATACATATATTCTAATTTATCCTTTTTTCGCACAAGTTTTGATTCGACATCGATTTATTTAACAAAAGTGTCATGATTATATAAGAATGTACAGTGAATACAGTGTATTATATACATATATTTTATACATATTTTTATTTATTTAAGAAACAAACTGATTATCACAAATCAAAGGAGAATCAAAGAATAGACAAATAATACCTAAAAGGAAGAACAAAACAAGTATAATTTTTTATATATTTCATCTTGTTTTACAGAATTTCATTTATAACTGTTAAAAGAGAGATAGATTGTATTTATTTACGAATAAGATGTCAGGACCAATGGTGCTATGTCAGCTATGGATGGGTGGCGTGAGTAAATTGTTTAAATGATTTAACGAACAAATTGTTCCTTGAAATACACGATTACATTAATACTGAGAATTATCTGATTCTAGTTGGAGCCATATATGACCGAAAGTTTTATTATGAATGCATTTCATAAAATGGGTGAACAACCACAGACTGTAAAGGTCATGCGGAATCGGTATACTGGTGAACCAGCAGGATATTGTTTTGTACATTTTCCAACCGATGAAATGGCACTTGATGCTATGCACAAATTGAATGGAAAAGTGATACCTGGTTCAAATCCTGTAAGGATAGTAAAATTTGCATGTCTCATTAAGGCTCGGTTCTCTCACGGCGCGACATAGATTGTGTGACGTCAGAGGCAAGAAATGACATGTAAAAAGTTTCTTGCGTTGTATATTGCTTTATCTTGTACTTTTCCCTTAAAAACATGATATTTTCATATTATTAAAACTTGTAAAAAATAGAAAGTAATATCTATCCAATAAATCACATAAAAGTAGTAAAATAATTCTTGAAATAATGGTCACTGCTCAGCTATCAGAAACAACTGATCTAGTGATCTGGTAATTTCTGTACCATTATTCTGTACCATTATAAGATTTATTCTACACTTTTATGTGATTTATTGGACAGATCTTACTTTCTGATATTTTTTACAAGTTTTAAGAATACGAAAATATCATATTTTTAAGGAAAAAGTACAGGACAAAGCTATACGACGCAAGAAACTTTTTACATGTCATTTCTCACCTCTGATGTCATAATTCAATATAGCTGCAGAAAGACAACCGAGTCTTAAACTAATGGCACATAGAAAAATGAAATGTAAACAGTAAAATTTAAACAGTAAACAAATTGATCAATCAGTAGAGTTTTAAATCTCAATCTTACACTTTTGATAATTTTAAATTGATTGACTGATTGTTCAAATTTTACTATTTATATTTTTCTATAGGATATTAGCTTTAGTCCTATATGATTATTTTTTATTATTATTATATATGATTATATTTTTATTATTATATATGATTATTATTTAGTCCTATATAATATTATTTTTACTAAAGCAGATGATCTTGATTTAATTTACTCTATTTTTTTTAATTCTTAGAAATCTAAAAAAAAGATAAATTAAATCGAGATTAAAGTTAATTTACATTAATAGAAAATGATAATAGAAAATGATAGAAAATGATAAGAAAATGATAATATAATGATAATTGGAAAATGATAGAAAATGATAAATGATAAACAAATTTGGTCATTCCTGCTATATCAAATTAGTATGCAATTGTTATACATGAAGGTATATATGGCAGAATGCAATGTTCATATAGTAGTTTTTAATACAATGTAGTATAGATGACAAAATTTGCTATTATTATTGGCATTATAATAATAGTAACAATAATAATAACAATGGTTCAAATCAAATCTTAGTTCCTGAAGAAGAATCGTTCTTTATAAACTTTAGATTTTTCTGATTTTGATTTCAAATCATTTTGATTTTATAATCAAAATTTTTATATATATAAAAATATAAGCTTTTAAATATTATAAGCCCTTTACTCTAGAATGTTTATTCTAAAAGTTTGACATTTGTTTTTAAAATTTATTTATTCATTGTTTGGATATTTTCAAGAGGTTATGCAATATTGATTTGCCTATTTGTAATGATTGTGGGATCATATTCCTCATAGGACCAGTCTCACCATCTTCCACTAACTTTAGCAACTGATTAAAGGTATGGTCAAGAGCTTACTACAAATGCTTTGAAGCATTTTTTGATTGGTGCATTAGTAAAATTCTTTGTTTTTATTGGACAAACGCTTCGAAGCATCTGTAGTGTTACATTGACCGTAGCTTAAATTTAAGAATTGCCAACTAAAATTTAAAACTTTGTATTATTTTATTTTATTTTGTTTATTTTTTGCTTTATGATTTATTTATGTAAAATATATGTAAAATTAATAATTAACATTTTTAATTAGAATAAGAAATCGAGTTAAGACTGATCAATTAAATTTCCGACTTGTATTTTGTTTTAGTAAAATATTTTTCTGTTCAAAATTCCTAGTTTAGGATGGTTATTCTGAAAAATAATCTAGACTTTTAACTTAAGAAACACGTGCTCGAGTGTTTCTACTGAACTAACCAATAGCTCAACCAACATTTATTTTAATATTGCTTGATATATTTTTTACAGCCAGTACGATTTAGATTAAATCACGCCAGCACCACAGGGAAACCCGCTGCCGAGCGAGAATTTAGTATTTGGGTAGGCGATCTGTCTACCGACGTAGATGATTACTCTTTGTATAGAGCATTCGCCGCAAAATATAATTCGATCAGGACAGCCAAAGTTATATTAGACAGTTCTGGGTTTAGCAAGGGTTACGGTTTTGTCAGATTCGCAAACGAGGAAGAACAAAAAAATAGTCTAATCACTATGAATGGTTATAGAGGGCTTGGAACAAAATCTCTAAAAATCTGCAATGCAGTACCTAGACCCTGGAATAAAATATCTGGGTATGTAGCGCACATGTATGAATATTATGTGTTTGTAAAAAAAGGATAAATCTTTTTTTCTCTGATTAATACGAATCAGATAATGTTTGATATCCTGTGAAAAGTGAAAGATCCATTTGTATCAAATTAATTTTGCAATCAATAAAGTTAAATTAATTTTAGTTCAACACCACCACAATCGACCTCTGAATACCCAGCATCGAATATGAATTCAGAAGCTTATAATTATTATGACACATCATCATACTGGAATAGTTACAGTGCTTGGCAACAAGGTTATTATGAAAGTGAACCAACATCGGATGCTTACAACAGCTATGTATCTGATCAAAAACCTGAAGAAGATGAATTAGAATTGATTGGTATTTATTTCTTTATGATATAAGAACTAATATATATATATATATATATATATATATGCGCTGTGCATATGTATAGTAATTAGTGAATTTTATTTAAATATTTTAATTCTTTTCTGTTTATTTACAGAGCATTCAATCCCGATTGATATTGATAAAGTAAATAGAGAAATAATCGAACAAGATTATAATTTATGGGATGCTTTGGAAAGTTCAAAGTGGATTCCATGTGACACTATAGAACTATGTTATTGAACTACTATATTATTATGATTGCTATTAGTGATTAAGAATAAAAAAGGCATAATCAGATTATCATTACTACATATGTATCAACATTTTTTCCATATATATTTTTTATTGTAAAAATAAATACAATGCATTTCAATTGCTCAATACACGCATCTGCGATTTATCCATTCTACAGTAATTTTAATATGATTTAAATGTATTAGTAGAATCTTTACAAAAAACATTCATGGCAGTACTTTTAATAATATATAATACTATAATATTGCATATTAGCATATAGTTAATGCATCTATATACCTTAAATATTTTAATTTAACTAAACTAATGACAAATTATGCGCGATTTATTCTTCGAGATTCACAGTTTGCTATTCATGAAATTGTGAATGATGTGAAAAAACTAGAATCATATTTATTTGTTGTTTATCATTCGCACTGATTCACAAACTTCAACTGATCTTTGATAAAATTGAAGGACGTGAATCGATTAATATATATATATTTATGTATATATATATATTGATCAGTGCACCGAATTGCATTATATAAACGATGAACTACTGATAATACGGAATGTTTGTATCAACAAATAATAAGTTTCCGCGAATTAAGAAATTATAAATTAGGAATTACGAATTATGAATCGCTCACAATCTGACGTTTTGAATTAGTTTTGGATTTGTGAAATTCTTGACCGAGCTTACTCTATACTTTATTTATTCGATAAAATATCGCGATTGTATATGGAAATGTATAAAAAACATTGAACATATTACATATACATATTCAATGTTTCTAAAAATAATCAAATTAGTTATAGAAAATAGGATTTGAATATATTTTTTATATATTCTTATCTGCAATTCTAAAAAATTATATGAACTTGATATATTATGAACAAATTAATAATTTTGCACATATAAAATTTGACTCATAAAAAAAATAAAATAAAAAAAGTAGATCTTTTTGTTTTGCACATATATTGTTCAATTCTTATCACATTTAATAATATACAATCATCTCTTCATCGAAAAACAAATTTGTCTAAATAAAAAATATTTTATATAATAAGTTTGCTCATGCGATTAATAAAAAAAAGTTTTATATATGTATACATATAATAAATTATATATGTATATGTATATATATATGTATATATATATATATATATATATATATATATATATATAATGAAAAATTAAAATTTCTCATAGTTTACATAAATTTACAATGTTTTAACGTTCCGACTTCCTGAAAATATGTTCTATTTGCAGTTCTATCTAAAATTAAATTATAACTAAATGCGATGCAAAAGATCATTTTTCACAATCATCTACCACGTTAATCGACTCGATATCTTTCGTTTTAATGTTAGAAGAATCCGATGGATTCATAGATGTCACGCTAGATGTAACTGTGGTGTTAGAGTCGATGTTTGAGGCAACCATATAAACTTGTAAAATAGTATTTCCAGGATTCTCTGTAGATTCTTTCGAAACGATTACTACGGCTCCTGGTTCCATTTGATTAATATCGGGTATCATCGTCATAATATTATTGGAATTAGATGTTTCCATATTTATACTATCCGTGGCTGATCTATTTACGTACTCTGTAACTTCCACAGCTACATGTGACGGTATCTTGCTATTTTCCGATTCATTATCCGATTCATTCTTAGTACAATTAAGCGTATTAAAGTCAGGCGTTTGGAACTTTCTCATTTTTTTCGTTAATCTACCAGATCTAGTTGGTCTGGGTTTATAAATCTCTTCAGAACTGTCCGAATCGGCATCGAAATCGGTGTAAGAACTACAATCGTCATATTTTTCGGATCTATCATCTGAACGCTCTTTCAACTTACGCATTTTACTTCCCTTCCTCATTTGTTGCTGAATATTATTTATATCGTTAATCATTTCTATATCGATTTCATCATTTGTCGATACCACTGTATCCTCAGTTTCTTGATCGTTGGACAATGCTTCACACTCTCCAATACTCCCTGCTGCCATTCCTGTAATTCATTGAATTAATTTTCTTTAAATATAATAACTTATATTTGAATGATGTATGAAATACAATTTTTTAGTACTCTGTTTTTTAAAAAATTCTTATATTTCTTAGGTATTATTAGGTATCAGGTAAGTGTAAAAATTATAATATACTTACGATGCTTGCGTTTCCTCTCCGCTCTGCTCATGCGTTGTCCGTTCTTAATCTTTTCTGTTTTAGGTGTGCTTTGTATATTTTCTACTTTTTGTAACATTGCTAAAAATAAAATATTTTGTAATTTATTTATTTCGAATTTGTTTAGAACATAAATTAGAATTTATATATATATATATATAGAGTTTACATGTGTTACAAATAAACAATTCTTCAGTATTTACAAAAATTGCACTTTGACTGCTATTATATCAGAATCACAAGCTTATTATAAAATAATATTTAGAAGTCAAACTGATAAACTGATTTGATGAGTAATTAAATTTTAAATCGTTGTAACAACGTAAACATTGACAACGGATTTATATGACATTTTTTACTCAAAATAATTTTTTAAACAATTTATCAAAGTTTTTTATATTTACTTTAAAAATATCTTGTATAATAAAGTCTTATAAGAAAAATATATAAAAGAGAGAGCATACCTAATTGTTCTTCTAACATATCGGTATCAAATTCTTGATGATATTTGAGAGCTTTCTCAACCAATTGTCGATTAACTCTCTCTTCCTTCTTATATTTCTGTTTAATTTCCTGTCTGCTTCTATTCGGGAAGAGTGTTTGCATCAACAAAAAATCTGTCCCTACTACGTTTAAAACTCTGTAGAATTTAAACGTCTCCCATTTCGGCCACTCTTTACTCCTCTTATGCTTTTTATAGAAACCACCGCTATGGGAATTATCATCTTCAATAGTCGTTTCATTCGACAATAATTCTCCGTCTCTTCTCGCATCTGTTTGTTCTATCACGAGACTTCGTTCATCGATTATCAACTGACCATCCGGACCAACTTTCACCTGCGGCGTCGGCATTGCCGGTGGATCATCCTCTTCTTCTTCTTCTGGTATTTCCATCGATCTAAAAAAAATAAGATTCAAATTTTGATGTAGATAACGTTCATATTTCATCATTGTAATTTTATATACTTACTGTGTAGGTACTTGTTTTCGTTCAGTTGACGACAAAGGATTAGATTTTTTCATAGGATTCGTCACGGGATTATAGTATATCAAATCGTACATTTTCAATTGGCTTCTATCAGGTGTTCTATTTTCATGTTTTAGCAAAAATTCCCTTCTAGCTTCGGCCAACTTTCTCGCGGATTCTGAAACTAGCATACGCCTTTTCTGCGTCGTTTTAATCCTCAGAGAATTATCTTGATTGTCGTTGACAGTACTTTCCTTATTGCTTTGTACAGAACAAACAGAATCATTTCGTACGCGACTTGGTATGACGGATGCCACCCTCTTGCTGTGTTCGTCTTCGGATTCGCTCGCACTTGCACCGCTTCCCTGTATACTGTTCTTTCTTATTCTACCACCACTATCCAACCTTGGTGTAGGTCTCATAAAACATGGGCGACTTTGTATCTTTGTAGGAGAGGCTAAAATATATACATATACATAAATATATATATAATATATATATATATATATATATATATATATATTAATTAAC